TAGTCGTTTACACGGGCGACTGAGTTCTTTACAAACCGATCCTTCCAGCCAAGTGTTTCTCTTCCTGTTGCCCGCCGACGTAGTAAGGTTCATTACTAGTTCACCGTCTTTCTCCTTCGCTACTTCTACTTCCTTGATGAGAGAAAACTCAGCCAGCGTTTATGAACTGGTGTGTGTAGGAGTCAGTGAGCTATGGCGTGTGGCATCTGTACATGTAGCTGTGCAAGCAGGAGAGAGTGGGTGAGCAGAGTTGGAGGCAACACGTACACGCACACGCACACGCACACGCACACGCACACGCACGCACGAACGAACGCACGCACATACACACGCTTGCAGCGCGCACACCTACACCCACACATACGCACATACACATATTCATACGCGGGCATACACATACAGGCAAGCACACGCGCACGCCCGCACGCCCGCCCGCACGCACGCACGCACACACCGCACGTACGCACGCGCGCATACACACAGCGGAAACTGCATGCGATGAATTTAGAGGATAACGTATTGTTTATGTGGTACAGGCGTGTAAGTACAGATGAGACGCCACGCAAACAGCGTTAACGCATGAAGGGCGATACACACACGATACACACACGTTAAACGCATGAGAGTACCATACACACACACACACCGCAGCGCGCACAACAACACAGCACACACACACAACACAGCACAGCGCACACACACACACACACACACAGCGAGCACAACACACACACACACAGACACACACACACACAGGTCACACACACACACACTACACACACACAGCACACACACACACACATCACACACACAACATGCACACAGCGCACACACACACACAACACACACACACACACCACACACACACAAGGCACACACACACACACACAGCACACACACACCACACAGCGCACCACACCACACACACACCACACACACACACACACACACACACACACACACACACACGACACACAGCATCACAACCACAACACCACACACACACACACACAGACAACACACAACACACCAGCCCACACACCACAGCACAACACACACCACACACACAGCCCACACACAGCCACACGCGCCAACACACCACACACCACACACACAGCACACACACCTACACAACACACACACACACACACACACACACACACCACAACACACACCACACACACACACACACACACACACCACACACACCGACAGCACACACCACGTAACGCATGAGAGTACCATCACACAACACAGCACACACACACACAACGAACGTTGAACGCATGAGAGTACCATACCACACACACCTTACAACAAATGTAGAAATCCCAAAAAAACCGTGAACACAATTTTATTCTTCGTCTTCGGTATGATAGCAAGTATATCTTACATCCGCTCACATTGTGATGAACCCAAACGGCCCATTTAGTCCCATACACGCAATCTAGAACCAGTCCTGACATGGAAGAGGATACGAACTGCACGTCGTTAATGCATTAAGTTAATCACTCGCTTGCCATTCATTTCATGAATTGATTGGAACAAACACAAATGTGTCTGGCCAATCAACCTCAATGCTTGGTTGACATTGATGAAAATGTTTGGATTGAACAATTGTATAAAATGTTGGCTGGACCATTGATGCAAATGTTTGTTGGACATTGATGGCAAAATGTTGGTTGGAGCATTGAAATGCAAATGTGTTGGACTCACTGTCAAATTTTGGTTGGCCATCAACCTAAATGTTGGATGCAACTTGATGAAAATGTTGTTGGACATTGATCAAATGTTGGTTGACATTGAGCAAATGTTGGTTGGACATCAAACTCAAATTTTGGTTGGCCATCAACCCTAAATGTTGGATCAACATTGATGAAAATGTTGGTTGGACATTGATCAATGTTGTTTGGACATCAACTCAAATGTTGGTTGGATCATTGGATGCAAATGTTGTTGGACATCAAAACAAATGACTGTTGCACGTCAGCAATAGTGAATAGGAAACAGCCTTGCCACACCACCACCATGGGGCGGGGGGGGCAACAATTCGTGAGGCAGTCAGCAGACAATAACGCACAGCGTGTTGGTCAATGCCTTCTCCGCTTCTTACACGCACGCACAGACGCACACACACGGCACACACGTACAGCGGGGAAACCATAGCAGACGACACAAGTAAGCATCGAAGTTTGTACCCATCCACGCGAATAGTGCGTAGTTTTATAACATTACATCGTTACTTAGATCTAGTGATTCAATCTACGCTAGACAAATCTACGCGCCGCATGTAATCCGATGGCCTTCTAAATTCACGCCAGAGAAACCATTCTAACGTGTCTGGCTCCTCCAATTCCTGGAGCTGCTAAAAAATCTAGGTTAAACGAACGAGGCGAATACCAGAATGACAGTCTCTACACATTAACAACCACATACGAACATCACAACAACTTAACGCAGCAGCAAAGGCACACGCTCGCACACACACGGCATTCAACCACATGCACACGCCGCACACACAACCACCTAAATACACCACACGCATGCACGCACCGCCACGCACTCCACACACAGAGCAGAGGACAATCTGTACAGCACGCCGTGCGGCACGCAGGCGTCAATACAAGTCGTAACGCGCGAAACGTAAAATCGCTGCACAAGTCGACTCCACGCGCAAGCACTGATAAAAGCTACGATCAGTGACGCCAGTCGGTGTCGCGCTGCGCCAGTCCATGTTTCCGTGCCGCCCTGAAACGGCGCTGCTGCGCTGATGATTGCTGCTGGCTGCTGTTGCTGCTGCTGGCTGCATGATGCTCTGCTTGCCTGCTGTTGGTTCTTTGATGCGCTGACTCGGCTCGTATCCTCTCCAGCAAGCTGTCCCACGGCTTCCAAGCTGCAACGCTGCTCTGCGCTCGCACCGCCTCGCTCGCTCATCTCATCTCTCGCCCTCCTGCCCGCATCCCTCCGCCTAGCCGGCCAAGACACGGCGGCGTCGTCCTCCGTTCCTGTGCGGGCGGGGCGGCTCCCCGTCGGTACGCGGCGGCGGCCACCGACCGGTTTCGCCGCTGGCGCATCCCGCGCGGCAGCGTGGGCGGCCGCTGTCGGCCGCGGGCGCGTCCATCGAGGGCCGCCATGATCGGGCGGCCGGGCCGCGTCCAGCGTCGGAGGCGCGCTCACCCCGGCCGTGGCCGCCGCCGCTCCACCCGCCGGACCATCGCGGCGGCGTCGACATCGCGGGCGGCGGCCCGATACCGTCGTCGCAAGAAGCGGCGGCGGCCGCGGTGGCGCCCCGTGGGCAGTCCCAGTCATCCGACGCAATCATGCTGACTGGTTCGCTGGAGCACCGACGCCGCGTGCCCAAGCCACGCGAATCGCCGACACCAGCCTCCTCCTCCGCCTCCGCCGACCCCGGGATCGCGTCGTCGTCAAGGGGCGCGCGCTGGCTGCGCGGCACCTCGGTGCGGCTTCGGCGCGGCAGCGGCGGCTGCTTCGTCGGGCGGAGCCCGCGACGCTGCGGTTGCCGTGGCGGCGGATGCTGCGCACTCGCTGAGCTGCCGCATCTCGATGTGGCGCTTCTGCTCCTCGACCTTGTGGCTGAGTTCGCGCAGCAACTCCTTCTGCTCCTCCAGAGTCGCGCTCGAGTCGGACAGCGACGACAGGATGCTCGACGTCATCTCCACCGGGTTCTTCATCTGCAACGTGACAACGACGACGACGTCATGCATCGTCAGCGATCCTCTCGTTATGCGCGTCGGAAAGCTTCAGCACAAACTAGTTACGACCGCTAATTATTGCGGACACCCCCCTAGTTATGGGCTGGGAAGCGGAGTTACGAGGTCAGAAAGCGTCAGTGCCCACTAGTTATGGGGGTCGGAAAGCATCGACCACACCCTCTAGTTACGGATTCGGAAAGCGTCAGTGCCCACTAGTTACGGGGTCGGAAAATGGCAGGGACCCCCCCTCCCCCAGCCTCCAGTAATAGGTCAGCATGCACTCTCCACCAAGTAATGCAAACCCCACCCAACCCGCACCCACCCACCAACCAACCCAACCACCCACGCTAAGTAAAATTGTATGCAACAGTACCAGAAAAAAAAACACGACAAACAACTACGAAACAACAACAACAACAACATCAACAAAGAACCCTCGCGCTCGCCCTGCGTCGTCATCCGTGCACCTCACCTGCGCGAGTTTCTTCATCAGGTCGTTCGTGCTCGACCTCGACCGCTCCGCATCGTCGACCTCCCCTCCGTTGCCCCCGGCAACCGCCGCGCCCGCGTCGTACGGCTCCGCCGCCGGGTCGTACGGCTCGTCGTCGTCCTCGTCGCCACCAGGGGGCGTGTAGGGGCTGTCGCCGGGCAGGCGGGCGTCGCCGGCGAGTCCGAGCGAGTCCATGCCGGCGTAGCGCTTCACGATCGGGTCGTGGCTGTCGCCGTCCTCCGCCCTGCAGTACAACACGACTCTACTGTCACACAGGAAACTCGCGACCGCGTACGACAGTATGAGACACGCGGCTGATGGCACGCGGATACTTGACCGTACTCGAATCCTTTCGCGTACGAACGAGATATTAGGCTAGCGACAACGTCACGCGGAGCTTGCTACAGCAGGCAAAACGCGCGGCCGATGGCTCGAGCCGCCACGACTATTTCTGCCGACTACCTTCTATGTATAGTTACGTTATACGTGCCGATAAACTCGACCATAACTGGACCTAACATCCTTTTGCGCACGAAGAGGAGATCCCTCACTTAGACTGGTCGCTCAGCCGAACTCGTGCGCAAATCATAAGATACGATGTCCAATGAATTTGCACTGGTTTGCATTTATAATATAAGATCTAGAAGTCCAATGAATTTGAACTCATTTGCGTTTATAATATGAGAAGTCCAATGAATTTGAACTCGTTCACCTTTATAACATAAGAAGTCCAATGAATTTGAACTCGTTCACCTTTATAACATAAGAAGTCCAATGAATTTGAACTCGTTCACCTTTATAACATAAGAAGTCCAATGAATTTGAACTCGTACGCCTTTATAACATAAGACGTGTAACAAATCTGCGCTCAGGGCTTCGTGGACGATGACGACGAACAATGAATTTGGTCCGCAATTATAAAATGAGAAGTCCAATGAATTTGGACTCATTCACCTTCCGAACATGAGATGAATTTCGGCTCGTTCGACTTCACACCATAAGTAGTAACCACGAATGCTACACTCACCGCTTCGCGGACGACGACGATGACGACGGCGGCGACGGATCGCGCGTTGTCGGCGTCTGCGAGCCGCTCGTGTCCGTGTCTTCGCGCTTGCTGCCGCCGCCGCCGCTGCCGCCGTCGTCGTCTCGCTTGCCGCCGTGCTGCTGC